GAGCAAATTTAAAATCAGAAAGAATTTAAGATCTTCAAAGCAATAAACTAAATTCTTTAGGTAAAGAAAAGGGAAAGAAACTGAAAACATGCTTTTGTTAAATCATAAAAAGAACTGAAAAACAGATAATCTTATCAGAGTAGAACAAACCAATTCCTGAAGACATTAGGTTCCGAGTCATAAACTGACATTTCCTGTTTGTAATTAAAACAAGCTTTTTGGAAGCAAGTTTGAATTTAAGAAATAGTTGTTGTAAATTGGTATTTTTTTTTTTTTTTTTCAAAAAACACAACCTAGAGTTGAGACAAGAAACAGGCACATTGGGTGATGTCCTTACCGTCAGATAGAGAAAGTTGAAGTGGTATGGCCATGTCATAAGAGCCAACAATTTTTCCAGTGCAGTGCCATCCTATAAAGTAACCCTTTAGGCAAAAGAGCTAAACAGAGGAAAACAATGTCACTGTGTAGACCAGAAGATCATTCAGAGAGACTCAGACTTTGACACTCAATAAAGACATATGGAGGAAGCTGGTCCAATGCACAGCCACCCTATGACCACACCCAGTTGTGGGACAGATGAGGAGGATCTTACTAGTCATTTTACTGTACATGATCCACAGGTCACATTAGGGCAAACTTAGATGTTTGTTCCCAGCAAAAAAAAAAAAAAAAAAAAAAAAAAAACGATTTTCCCATTGACACCACTATCATATTAACTTCTTGGCAATGTTTTAAAAAGTGATGATTAGAATTATAATAAAAAAAAAACTAAACATATGGTGAAAGTGAGTTTATACTTTGTTTTTTGTTCTTAAGAATTTACAACAAAAATATTAAACTATTTATTTATTAGATTTATTTGCAAAAATTTTATATTTGCAACATTCTAAAAACTAACACAATTTTATTGAAACTAATACAATATTTATCATTTACCAATTTTTAAAGAAATATGAAAACAATTTCTTATTCATAAATTTATAAAAATTTACTAAATTATTAATAGTGAACCAACTCTAAAGAAATCCTTATTATTTGCCATCTCAAATTTCATATCAATTGCTAATTAGTTAATGTTTTGCCTGCCATTCCAATAAACAATATAATACTGTTTATTTTTTTTGTTGTCAGTTCTCAAGAACAAAGAAAATGTATAAATTCACTTTCATGTCTAAGTTTTATTACAATTCTAATCATTGCTTTTTAAAATGGTAAACATTGCCGAGGATGGAAGCTAACTAAAATAATGGCAGTGCCAATGGAAAAACCATCCTTTTTGACACTCCATTTGTTGCAGGTATATAATATAAATTTATTAATGATTTTTATATTATTTATATACTATATTTCCTGGCATCAAAGATGCTATTTTTCTTCCCCCATAAATAAGTTTTGAAAATTTACTCTGCATCTAACAGTTCAAAGGTTACATTTTCATTTTGCATGTCAAAATTGGGGGTGAGCCCTTGATGCTAGAACATTCTCAATGCAAGGAAATATGTTATGTTTTTTGCTAGGTGAGTTATAGAATGTCAAGCAGTCCATATCAACATATGAAATAATTTATACAGGACAGTGCATTAATCAAATATGTTTCTTTGACCTACAAGTTTTAGATTTGTTTATGAATAAAAATTTATATTGCACATTGCATAAAACCTGGTATTGTTAAATAAAAGGTATCAATTTTTTGATAGGGTTACATATTATAAGGTGAAAGTAATGACATTCTTAGGATTATATTAACAATATATCAATATTACTTTCATCTTATATCTATCCCTATTAAAAACATTGATACCTTGATTTAAATAGGTCAGGTTTTATTATGAAAGTCACTTTATATTTACACTAAAATTGGTATTAACCAACTAATGTTTGTAAAATGTTCAGGATATATTGGTAATATAAATCTAATTATATCTTGAACATTTTAACAACATAAGTTCATCAATGCCAATATTAGTGTTTAAAAAAAATAAAATAAAATAAAAACATTGACTTGCATAAATAAAACCTGACACTATAGAAGTCAACATATTGTGTCAAAAACAAAATTCAGAGACAATAGAAGTTAATGTGTTTACAGAGCATTAAATCATACAAAAAACAAAAATGCTTAACACATTTGGCCAATTGGGAATTTTTAAAACAAGAGGACAAAAAAGGTAAAGAAACATTTCCAAATATTCTAAGACAGAATAGAGAAAACATGTAGAAAAAAAAATGTTGTATTTCCTGGCACTGAAGATGCTAATTATTTTCCTGAAAATAAGATTTCAAGATTTATCCAATGCCTTACATGCTAAAGGTGTTTATTTTTTGTATCATTTCACCCTATGGAAGACAAAACCAGTAAGATGCAAGGGATTGTTGAGTGTGAAAGAATGAGAAACAAGAACATTATTAAAGAAAGAGAACAATAAAAGAATAGGAATTAAGAAGACAGAAGATAACAATTGATATTGATCTTCAAAAATTTTAAATGCAATGTCAAAGTTGGCTGGAAAGCAAGAAATCAGAAGAGAGTGCCACAAGTGAGAAGTGCGAGAGATGAAACTGTTAGCATAGAACTTAGGGTTACATCTAGCTATTTCAACTCTAATATGTTGAGACCTAACTGCCAATCTAGTACTGCATTTAAATTCATAAAGTTAAGGTACTAAAAAGGAAAGTTCCTCAGAACAATTACCATGAAATATTTATAAAAAATGCACAGGAAAGCTACGTTACTTTCATTTTTATTTTACTTATGTAGTGTTCTTTGTTTTTTTGGGTTTTTTTCTTTTTGCAAAAATTTCAAAGCGAAAATTGGGGCATATTTGATGCCAGGAAATATGATAATTACTGGTTTTATGCAGAAATGTTCTGATCTCTCAATAAAAAGATTCATACTAGTATTCTGATCCTTACTATTTTTATCACTATATTTTGAGTCCTTTGACCTTCAGCAGGTGTATGATTCATCTGACAAGATATATATTTTCTCTTAAAGATTGTTCTAAATCAGGGTATCAAGGATTAAGATTCTTATGAGAAGTGGTCATTCGTGAGTTAGCCTGAAAGAACTCTAGCTGCCTGTACATAATAGATCAACACTTAGAGGAATTTTCCCAGCATATCCATTAAAACACTAACAATAGCATTTTTTAAGCTATGGAAGCTCTTTATGGTTGTCTCATTTCTGCTGAGTATAGACAGCCAGACAATGTTGAAACCTTATGAATTTGCTTGTACAGCCATTTGTTAGTGATAAGATGTAATGATAAAAATGAGGATACTAATATGAATTTCTTGTGAAATAATGACAATTTGATTGATTGAGAAATAATTGGTTTTGTAGATATGTTCAAACGTGTGTGTGTATATATATATATATATATATATATATATATATATAGAGAGAGAGAGAGAGAGAGAGAGAGAGGTATTGGGGAAATTGTATGTGAGGTGGAAAAAAGATTACTTGTGATGCGTTTTGTCCTAAAGGACAAAATGCATCACAAGTAAACTTTTTACACTTTGTCATAAAATTTCCCCCATATATATATATATATATATATATATATATATATATATTTATATTATTTAAGTATAACACAATTGAAATCTATGTCTTATCAATCCATTGCAGGTTATTTAAAGCCAGGAAAGATTTTTAGATTGTAAGTTATTTTTTTGAGATAATAATGGTCAAGTGATACAAGTTACTAATTAACTCATAGCTGGAAGGAAAAGAGGTGAATTCATACTTTTCCCAACAGTATTTAAACATAAGTAAATACAACAAATTCAATGGGAATTGGAACTTGGCTCTCGTATTCACAATTTAAAGCCATTATCCATTAAACCATCTTGCACATCCAAATTTACAGCACCTGGTATTCCAAAGTGGTCACCCATCTAGATACTGACTAGGTGCAATGTTGCTTAACTTCAGTGACTGTACAGGAATAGGTGTTTGAACGTGACGTGGCCGTAAGTCTAAATAATAACAATGAACTATTAAAGAATTTCATATAAAATAATAAAACTATATTGTCAATCTTGATTGCTTTCGATATGCATCAAAATCACATTAAAGTTTATGCCTATAAGAATTTCAAAATATAAGGTGTTGCTGAAATTTTCATTTGGTCATATTTCGGAAGTGGGCCAAGTTAAGAATTTTTCAGCACCCCTTTCCACAAAGCGCATTTATATATTTTTGTTTATAATATCTATAACTGTTTTTTTTGTCATACTAGAACTTTCTTCCTTCCACTAGCAATGCCAGGTGGCAGTGTCTGTTATATTTACTAGAATTTGACATTTATATATAAACATTTATATAATATAACATTTATTGTATTAAGAAATAATGTCTGATGAAAAAAATTAATTGCTTAAAAAATGAGATTTTTCTTTTGTGTGTGTGTGTGTGTGTGTGTGTGTGTGTGTGTGTGTGTGTGTGTTTTTGTTACCTTTATAGGTCACCAGAAGAGTTCACTATGTCAAGATAGATAATTTGACTAACTCTACTGAGTGAATCTTATGATTTTTAATACAATAACTATGTTTATATAAGAAATATAATTTCAGGAATTTTTAAATGGTAATTGGTTTTGTAGATATGTTCAAAAGCGCGTATATATATATATATATATATATATATATATATATATATATATATATATATATATATATAGAGAGAGAGAGAGAGAGAGAGAGAACAGTATTGTATGATGAAGTGGAAAAAGTTTACTTGTGATGCGTTTTGTCCTTCAGTCCAATGAAGTCCTAAAAGATCAAAACGCATCACAAGTAAACTTTTTACACTTTGTCATAAAATTTCCCCATATATATATATAAAATTAGTTTTATTTATTATAATTGTTTCCATTTATAGCAAAAGAACAAGACAGATGATCAATTATTTTTACTTGATTTTCAAGAAGATGAACAAAAAAAAATTTATATTATTTAAGTGTTAAAAAATGTGTTAAGTGTTAATTGAAAAATTACTTAAATATTGCAATCAGGATGAGTGTGAAAGAAAAGGTATAGGCAGACAGAAAGAAGGTTGTCAGAGAGAGAGAGAGAGAGAGAAGGTGCCAAGCTAGAGGAAAGGAAAACAAATGGTAAACTTACATATAGAATTTTTTGTTAAAATTTATTTCTAAGGAATAACTGTCCTTTTCAAAATCTCTAAGATGAGACTATATAAAATAAAACAAATAGAAACAGAGCCTCACTGTGGCTGGCAAACTAGTTTTACAGACCATGATTTCTGGAGCAAGTCCAGTCTTCATTGGGTGCCTAACACTTATGAACTTATATCAAATTAGATCAAGCTAAACTTAGCAAATATCTACATGGGGTACCATGTTTTGCAGCAAGTTTTAAATACCATTACTACTCTAGAGAGATTCATTCTGACTGTGTCCTTTATATTTTGAGCCTTGTAACCTTAGTAAATATTAATATTGCTAATGAAAGGAAGGAAACAGCCAGCTAGTATATGGCCATATAGAGTAAGAGATGTAAACAGGAACAGTGTGATACAGGGAAGTAGGAGCTAAAAGAGAGTTCTAATTCAAGGGAGAGAACTTGTCTACATCCTATACAGGAAATCTTATTTGTAAAGGAGGAACATTTAGAATGGGTAATCAATGAACAATGGGTTGAGAGTAGAATACTAAGGATACATTTTCATTATTCATGTTTTGTTGGTTACTTTGAAATCCAAAGAGAAAAAAAAATCAAAGGTTTCATTATTACTGTTATATATCATACTCTAATGGGTAATACCCCAATCCTCATAACTACATTGGACACTATTGTAAGTGGGTGTAATATGCTGCCTAAGTAGTCCACCACCAGCAGTGGTTTACCTACCACTGGCGAGTATTGTATTTTGTTGATGTTATGAAGATTGATTAATTAGTTATATACCATGTGTGATAGACTCTTAGGCAATCATATGTCTTTTGATACATGACTGACAAGGCATATTTTTTCCTGAGGTAGGTTGCCATTTCTTTCTGAAGTAGACCAGTTGACATCCAAGGATATGGAACCTAGTCTGTCCGGCTATTTACCCATAGCTGGGGGAGGGAGAAGAGGAGGATTCATACCTTTCCCAAGAGTATTAGCACACAAGTGAATGTAATGGATTCGACTGGAATTCAAACTCAACTCTCTGATTCTTCAATCTGAGATGCTATCCATTACTCCACTGTGCCTCCTTATAAAGATTATTATTTCATTTCCAACCTCCATTTTGGTTATTCCTCATTCAGCAACCTTTTTCCTAGGTTACAACAATTACACATACATTTGTTTGCATTTTTTTTTATTGTTTTTAAAACATTTTATTAACTGAGCTATTCCTTGGCCATTAAATTTTGTAAAGCTATATAAAACCATTTTCTCAGATGAGTGATTAAAAAATGGCTTTAAGCACATGAATTGTTTAGGCTTTAAATGAAACAATCTTACATCTGACCCTGTAGACTAGCACTTCAGAATCACAAGTGTAAGACTTTGATTTTTCTCTAAACAGATTTTCTCTTAAACAAGGATGAATGAAGAGTTTCTATATAAATATTGATTTAATAGATTACATTCATCTATATGATTAGTGACTTTTCTTGTAATAATTTGATACTAACCAGAGATTAAGAAAGTATCATATTTGAATTTCTTTGATGAAAAATTGTCATTTATTAACTTGTTTATTTCTACCATCAAAAGCTGACAGGTATTTAAGTAATTTTGTAATTGAATTTGCCTTGTGTCATTGCTAAATGGACCATGTTTTCTCAGATCAATGATAAAAAATTTCTTCAAGCAAATGAACCCTGTAGATCTTAAAGAAGAGTATCCTTTATCAGATCCTATAGACTGGTGCTACAGAATCACAAAGAAAGTGCTTTGCCAAATAACAATAAAATCATATCACTTCCAACAACAACTAAAATGGATAGTATATGTAACTAGAAAGAAGAACAATATAATGAAGATGTTGACTTTCCTTAAACAAAAGGTTAGAAAGGAAACTCCTGTCAGTATATAAATAAAGAGTAATATATAAATTTCAACTGAGAGTAATGCTGACTGTTCAGTCAATGAACGTTGAAGGTTTCCTGTATGAAAACTGCTATTCTCACCATTACCAAAAGAGCAGCCCTGACTAAGATTCTAATTTAGATCTCATACCTCAGAAACATACCATTCATGGACAATGGCTAGAATATTATCTACCTAAGCTTAAAGCAGGATTCTTACCCATACTATATTGATGACTGCCTAATAATAATAGAAATAGAGAAATAGTAACACAAATTTGTTTTATGTGCTTCTGAGATAAATTCTTTATATTATTATATATTAGTTTTGACGAATGTTTTCATTTTCTTTGGTCTCTTTTTAGGCTATGAAATAGAAGGAATGGAAAATAGCAATATGTGCCTCAGGATGAAGTAATGGTTAACAAGCTTGTCTAGTCAACTATTAAGATCAATATTCACTAGATGCCACAAACTTGTGGCCTTGTTCCAAACAAAGGTCAGTAAACAGCTATAAATAGCAAAAGAAAGATTTTTTTTTATAATAATACACTAGTTTAAGTTTGTCAAAAAAAAGAAAAAAAAAAAGAGAAATATTTTAAAGATTTGCATGTGCAGTTAACATAATGGTTATCAAGACAGAAAGGAGAATTGGTCAGCAAAGTTCAAATTCCCACCGAGTCTGTTGCATTCACTTTCATACAAATGCTCTTGATAAAACCATAAGTTTATCTCTTCCCTCCCTACCTATGGATTAAAATATCATGGCAGACTGAGAGTTTGAGCCTTGAGTGGTATCCATTCCAGAAGGACAAATCTGTATAGAAAATCACAGAGAAGGCAATGGGAAAACACTTCAGTCTTTTCCAAGAAATCATGGCAAATTTTAAAAAATCTGCAGAGAAATCTGATCACCAAAATCCTGAAGGGATATGACAATTTAAAAAAATTGTACTTATGAAATATCAAAATCTTTGTTACTCTACATTTTTATATTTTAAATACTTCCTCATACCATACACCATAGAATTTCATTTACCAAATTTAATGTGCGACTAATTTTCACTGTTGAATTAAGTGCCTTAACAAGGTAACAAATTATGTTGAAAGATAAGTATAAGCAGTAGATTAATTGGAAGAACCATAACAAATTTAAAGAATTAGACATGAGAAGTATTTACTGGTTTCATCCAGTAAATGATGGCAGCATAAAATATATAACAATGGTAATCAAAATATTTGCAATACATTCAGCTAATGAAGCCCATCAATGTGCAGTAGGTAAACTTCCCATACAACATTCTTTCAGTATCTTATATAAGAGTACTTAGCACAATTTTTCTGATGAGCTTTTCTCTTTAGTAACTCAACCTCATGAATTTAAGCATAGCACTAGAATGGCAACCTGGCTTCATCATTTTGCTGTTGAAGTAGCTAGACATAACAGTAAGTTTTTTTCTAATAGTTTCTCCTTTCACACTTCTCATCTGTGGAACTCTTTTCCTGTCAACTAAGATCTTCAAAAGTTTAAATGCAACATCAATTGCCATCTTGTCTTTCTGAATCCTGTTCTTTTATTGTCTTTCTACTCACTAAGATTTTCTCCTTGTCTTTCACTATCAATAAACCCTTGCATCTTAGTGACATTATCACCTTCCTTGGGTTGAAATTATTTAAAAAACAAAAAGATGTTGAGTTTATGTCATATCACAGTAGCTATAAATCTTAAAAAAAAGCAAAAAAAAAAACAAAAGCAACTGAAATTCTTTTGATAAATTCATGTCACCTTCATAATACTGATGAAACCAAGTACAATGCATGAACAATTTTAGAATGTTGGTCCTGTTATACCTTGCCTCTTCTTCTAACTATCCCCATATAGTTGAATAAATGATAAGAGTCTTTATGCAAAACAAACTTGAATAAAAATTTCTTGAAATCTTTTAAATGTCATAAAATATGGGCCTTTTACTCCTAATTTGACATTAATCTCAAAATCGCAATGTTTCTAATGACTTTTCTTTATTTTCACACATTACATTTTCCTTTTGTAGTCGAATTTTAAATATTTCATTTTTAAATCAATTCACTCCAAGCAGTGAACAAATTTACTATAGTACCATTCAGATACAAGGGATAATTCCTGATAAATGATTATACCCTCATCTCACAACAGACATTAAAATTCAAGTTTCAATCTTATTTCAATAACATTTTGAGAAAAAAAAATGAACAATTTGCTTGGTTAAATGTCTCTCACTATCAAAATTAAACCTCTTCCAAAAAATAAATAATTGAGTTTGTCCACAGGAGTCAAAGGTTTCATATCTGACCCATTTTTCAACCATAATTCATTACAGCAAATATAGAATAAATGAATGTGTGACACTGATAGAAAAATTTCTTGCTTTAAACAAAAATTATGACCTCATTAAAAAGATATATCTACATCTGGCTATCATTAAATTTATATGATTAAAGTTTCCCATAGTCTGGATACCAATTCAGATATCAACACTGCATTTAAAAATATTTTTATGAAACTTTTTAAACTATCTTGAGAAATCTTGCTAAAGAGAAAAGAGAAGACATTTTAAGCTTAAACATTACTAAAGATTTTGTTAGTAACAATAAAACTAATTGCTTTCTTGAATTCTTAAAATACTCAAAAAAAAAAAAAAAAAAATGAAACTTTGCAAGATATATAGTCAAAACTTTTTACATTGGTGGCAATTTATGATTCTAAATTATCCTGTGAGGATCATAGCAGAAAAAAAAGAATATGAAGATAGTTATGAAGAAAAGAAAAATACAGAAAAGATTACAAAATTTGGAACCAACAGCTGGACAAATAGGGCAAAGAATTATTTGAATATATGATATATTCATATACTTTTATGAATGCATGTGAGTGTGAAAGAATAAGTGAGAAAAAGAGAGAAAGTGTGAGTGTAAGGCAGTGCACAAGAGAGGGAGCATGTTTATGAGCAAATACACATGAGGGAGTGGGTGGGCAAGTATGCAAGGAGGATTGTGCAGGTGAGTGTTGTGTGAGTACATGAAATTTAAAGAGTGTTATGTGAATGAGTGTGTGCAAGTGCCTGTGAATATGAGAGAATGTTGCAAGAGAGAGATTGCAATTATTTGTTTGCATGATCTCTTTCAAGTCTGAATACTGTAAAATGCTCTCAAAGACACAAAAATAGATGTTTCTTTTTGTTTCTGAACTCATAAGATTAATTTCAAAATACAAACACATTTGGCATATGCTACCAAAATCTTTATTTTACTTCAGCAAGAACCATGCAAATGCTAACTGTAAAGATTTACAAAATTCTCTCATGAGCCATAGTGAGTTAGTTCTATCCTCACAAGGAGTCATCTATAGTAAATTGGTTCCAGAAATTTATAGCCAAATGGAGAAAAATACAAATTTATATACAACATTTATACATACCCACCCCACACACAGTTTTAAAGTATGCTATATTTATGAGTAAATTTGTCTCATTAGCCATAGTGAGTTAGTTCCATCCTCACAGTGAGTCCCCTAGAGTAAATTTGTTCCAGTTTAGATTAACTTAAAATGCACTATTATATTTGTAAAATTTAAATAACGTTATTGCTATATATATATATATATATGTATGTATGTATGTACACACAGATACCTCACGCCCTCCCCTTATCACAAACTCTGGTTCTTTGTCTAGAAAGGCATCTCTTCAGGTTGCCCTGTACCTTTTCCTCAACTGCTATCTAAATTAAATTCCAAGCCTCTGATTCCAAGATGAACTCAGTCCAGGGCTGAGGAGGACTGGCACAAGGTTGTGCTGGTTTGAAATAAACCATACCCACATGAAATAATTTGGGATTTTTTTTGTTATATATATATATATATATATATATATATATATACACATATACATACATACATACACACAAAAGAATTGGAAAAAAAAAAGTATAGTCATTACAATTGGAAATATGTAATATACAGATTAACTGCTTGAAAAGTGGACATATTACTACAAAACTTTGAAGTCAGGGAAAATTAGTTAAGTAATTCTTTTGTATGATATATATATATATATATAATAATAATAATATTATCAATGCTCTATTTTTACAATATTGACCACTATATGAAAATATCTTCACTTTTAAATCTTTATATAACATCCAATACCTTGACATTCTCTTACCTGGAGATACAGAAATTTATAGTTGAATGGAGAAAAATGAAAATTTATATACAACAATTATACATACATATAACCAAACACACACCTTAAAACTATATATGAGTAAAAGTGCTCAATATCAAAGACAGAGCATATGTAAATATATAAGTGAATACTGTGGTCAACACAGAGCAGCCTGTTTCATGCTTGAACACAATCTGTTGCCACTTTATGTCAACTTTTATATTATATATCAGTGCATATATGTACTATATGAACAAGGTATATTTATCTAAAACTGCCTATACATAAACTATAGGCAAATCTCTTAGTTAAACTTAATGTGACAAGCACACACCTACACATGTGTATAAATGACAAAGAATGTACTTTACAAAAAAGAACAAAAAAAATGTCAACAAAAGTTGTCCTGTTACCACAGCATCACCATTGTCTTATTTTCCCTTTGTTTGTCTCTTTTTTAGTTTAGGTACATTTTAGATTAGTCAGCATATTTTTACCACTTTCTGTTTAACCCGTAGTAATAATTACCATAACTGGCACTATAAAACATGGGCTCAAACTGTGGTTCCTACTTTCTCATCCCCCTAATCTATACCTTATGATAACATCATTTCATTGTTTGCTTTCCAGTACATGTCTATTTCTCACGCATACATACCTCAAACAGCCAGATAAATGCTTTTTGGCTTTCAATAAATCAGTTTATGAAAAGGATTGTCTTCAAAGTTTTTTATTGTCATAAGGCGTTTTATCTGGCTACCTATCATGCATGTGAGACAAATATGTACCAGGAGCCAGAACAAGAGTATTTCTTAGAAACCGGTACCTTTATGCAAGCAATCTTTTGTAATTAAAGTGCTCAGTATCAAGAGATAGTGCATTAATAGTAACAAATAAATTTAAATATTTAACTTGTCTCTCTCCATTCCAAGTTTCACAGATGTATTCATACTTCAAGAGGTGTGATAGTACAAATTGGAATTTTATTATCAAACCCTCTGATGAGTGGATACATCTCTACAAAACTCAAAATGGTGATCTGAACTTTTAATTTTATTTGCTATTAATATATTTAAATATTTGCTTACTGGGTCTGAATGTTATTGAACTCTAGTTTCTTGAAATTCATTTTTTTTTCTCTCTCTCTTCAATTCCATTCATTAATTTAAATTTACATGCTTTTTAAATTTTCTATTCCCAGAAAAATTAACTTTGTAAGTCCTTTTTTTTTTTTTTTTAAGCATTTTCTTTTAAAAATACCTTATAAATTTTGTCTTTTCCTATCTACTATTAATATTATATATATATATATATATAAGTTTGATGATTACTATAGATTTACAAGCTAGTCTCCCAATCTGTTGTTTATACATTCTGGTTTTCAATATATGCACAAAATATATTCAGATCTTGACACCTCCATACTCAAAACTAAAATAAATCCTGTCAACAATTTTCGAACTAAACTAAACACATCCTACTCAACAAATATCTATAAAATATACCATGGAAAGAAAGTCAAGAGGACCAACATTTGTAAATAAAACAATATTTGTTTCTGGCCATGAATTGACATCTGTATTTACAAACAGTAAAATCTAATGTTACAAACAGTATTTTTCCCCCTGATATGTGTAGGCAAAAAAAAAAAAAAAAAAAAAAAAAAAATATCAAACAATGAGCATTTCCCAGAGAGTAAACAGCATTGCTGGAAAGCAGATATTAGTTACAGAGTTGTGTGGAGGATGAAATGAAAACAAGGTGTGAATTTGAAAATAGGGAACATTATGTAAAAGAACATCATTTGGCACTTAATGGAAGAGTGGTGAAAAATATTAATATCCTTACGTGCTGAGCATGTTATTACTATTCATTTAAACATACAGCAGATAGTTTGGTTTTATATCATCATGAAAAGAATATAAAAGTTTGCAGATATGAAACACAGATATGAAAATAAAAGGCATAATTAGAAGAAATATTAATATAAAAATGTTAGGTGGCTTGGGAATAAATGAACAACAGAAATAATACTTGGAAAAAAAATCACTTATTTGTTAGTGATATATTCAGTGCTGCTATGGAAAGAAATCTTGTATTTATGAATTTATTAAAAGTGTTTTGATTATCAAAGTAAGAAGACATGTAAACAAACTATTTTGATAATACTAAAGACTCACTGGATTTTGACTGAGTAGATTTTGGAATATCAGCAGCAACAATGTTAGTCTTGGTTGCTTCTGATTTAGAAGTTTCAGATTTAAGTGCATCTAATTTGACAACATTTGGTGTTTTAGAATTAGGAGCATCAGGCTCTGCAATATTTGACTTGTGATCATTAGATTTGGAAGGAGGGTATTTAGCTGTGTTACTTTTGGATTTAGGCTCAGAAGAAGCAGATTTAGGTAACTTAGTTATATCTGCATCAGATTTGGGCTTATCAGAATTGCTATTCTTGGATTTTGAAAGGATATCAGATTGTTGGGACAAAGCATCAGGACCTGTGGATTTGAGAGAATCAGCATTGGGAGCAGCAGATTGATGGTGTTTGGTATCTGAGGAGATATCAGGTTTTGGAGACTTGGAACCTGAGGATGCATCAGACGGAACAGGCTTGGCATCATGTACACCAGATGGGGCTTGTTTGGTCTTGGATGGTGAACTCTCTTCAATGGGGACATTAGCTGGGGTGAGTTGGGCCTCTGGAACGGCCTTAGGAACATCAGACAGTATTGACTCATCACTGGGAACATCAAATTGGACGGGTTTAGTTTCAGGAACATCAAACAGAGTGGATTTAGCATCAGGCACATCGGACGGGGCGGGCTTGGCATCGGGAACATCGGACGGGGCGGGCTTGGCATCGGGAACATCGGACGGGGCGGGCTTGGCATCGGGAACATCGGACGGGGCGGGCTTGGCATCGGGAACATCGGACGGGGCGGGCTTGGCATTAGGGATATCAGATGGTTGGGACTCATCGGATGGGGCAGTCTTGGTATCAGGAACATCGGATGGTGAGAACTCATCATCAGAAACATCGGATGGGGAGGATAAGGCATCAGGATTAACAGAGGTAAAATTATTGGTATCCGAAATACTGGTATTTGGTTTAATAACTTCAAGATCATCTTCAGTGGGAGGCAGGTCACTTACATCATCTGACTCCTCGCCTTCTTCTTCAAAGGCTGGCACATAATTTTCCTTGATAAACTTCAGCATGCTTTTCTGTTGCTTTGTACGTAGGTAGTAGTTCATGGCTTCCTGAAATGAGAAAAAAGGAGATTGTAAAAAGACACAAGCACAGATTAAGTGATAGTTTGATGAAGGACAAAGATACACAAGATTTCTTCAATGACATCTAATTTTTTTTTTTTTTTTTGCACTCTAAACATACACAACAGCCTTTCAATCCGCCATGTTTTTTTTGTTTTTTTTTTAATTCCAGTCTGTACCAGTTTACACGAAGACTAGGAAGAGATCATTGCATGTTTGCAAGGAAACAGAAAGTGAAAATATGTGCCAAAAAAAAGAAATGAAAAAAAGTGAATCTTGTTTCCAAAATATTTGGTAGTTTATTTAGGGATTCACTCAGCTCAGTCTTTGGGGAGGTTAGATAAGTTACACTTGGGACACCTTCACTGTTAATTCTGTCTTCTTTCACAAACAAATCAGATCTTCTAATAAATCAGATCTTCCCATCTGTACATCACAACTTGTTTACAGGTGACTGTTTTGAAGATCTCTAGAGCTTTTGATGTCTACACATTCATAAAACTGCTGTGCTTCAGGCCCCAATAAAGCCATTCACAGTCCACTTTGTAGATATTTTTATTGATAAGTCATAAATAAAGCAAATCAACCTTTTGTAGGTTATTTAAAGCCAGAAAATATTTTTTGGATTGTAAGAATTTTTGGGAGATAAGGATTTACTGATATTTAACCCATAGCTAGAAGGCAAAGAGGTGAATTCATACCTTTCCCCCCAAAGGTATTTTCACATAAGTGAATATAATGAATCCAACTGGAATTAGAACTTGGCTCTCCAATATGCAATTCTGGGCCATTATCCATTACACCATCTGCACATCCAAGCTTACAGCACCTGGTATTCCCAAGCAGTCACCCATCTAGATGCGGACCAGACTCAACATTGCTTAACTTCAGTGATCAGACAAGAACCAGTGTTTTAACATGATATGGCCATAAGCTTTGTGGGTGTTTTAAATAAGAATCAGGTTATATGACGTCACATTTACTATTGTGGAACATTTAGAAATTAAAAAAGTGAATCTTGTTTCCAATATATTTGGTTGTTTATTTAGGGATTTACTCAGCATAGTCTTGGGAGGAGGGTAGATTAGTGAAGTTTTCCCAAGTGTAATTTAACTAAACTTAGTAAATAACTTCTATATAATTATATGCATACAAAAATCTAGTCTAAGAAAATAGACTCCATTGAAATTTAAATTCTTATCCATTTTCAATGGGAACTTGCTATTTCATATAGCAACACATTAGCATTTGGCTACGGGGCAATGATATTGAAACAAAATTATTTTTAATCTCATATTTCCCGACAGGGGAAGTGAATGACAAAACAAAAAAATTCTATGTATTTCGCCATTCAATTACTGACCATTAGTCTGATATATAAAGTTTCTAATATATTTTTCTCATTCCATGATTGTCTTAGGTTTTACTTTAATCCACATCAATTATCAAAGTGAACAGAATATTCTTTTTACAATTTGTATCATAGCTATTCTATATCTTTTTTTTTTTTTTTTTTTTTAGATGAACCCATTCCATATAAAAACAATGCATCCACTACACCTTTTCTGTTAGTAATACTTGCATTAATTCCTGACCAGTAATAATCCATTTCTTGTTGTTTTCAATGTATTTATACAGTATAATCATTTGTAATGAATTTACATGTTATAACAATAATGCTTGCCTTAATTGACAATCCCTTTCTTTTTGATTTTCAATGCATTTCTATCATTAAATAATTAACAATGTATTCACAGTGTATATAATAGCACTATATTATCGTTAATACTCGCCTTAATTCCAGATCACAGACAATACTTTCTTCCTGATACAGATTTAATGCTAAAACTTCCTAAAACAAATTGTCATGCAGAAAATGACTAAAGCTTAACTGGGAAGTGGAGAAGTAGTAGTGAAATCAGTTGGATGTGACAAACAGAAGCTTTGATAGCATAAACTTGATTCAGATACAAGTAAAAATTCTGATACTTGTAAAACAAGTATTTAAATTTGTAAACAAAATAACCAAAGTGGAAGACAAAGCTCTTGATGTTTTGAAAAAAAAAACAGTTATGTAAATAAATACTGGTGGATGTAATTTCAAATGAAATAGAAAAATACAGAGCAATTTAATTTTTTGTCTAATATAGTTAATAAAAAAAATATCAAAATCTTACTAATACTGTGGTTCCACAATATGGATCATCAGGCAGTAACAGATAGAATTTTACCTGGCCTGATGATTCAGAGGTGAAATTGAAATGGCATTATGGTTTGGATTTTTTTTTTATGTTGTTTACAAATAAACTCCTACTACTAAAAACAAAAAATAAATGTGTTTGTGTATATATGCACAGACACACACACATATATATATATATATATATATATGCACAGACACACACATATATATATATATATATATATATATATATATATATATATATATATATATATACAGACACACACACACACATATATATATATATATATATGCACAGACACACACATATATATATATATATATATATGCACAGACACACACATATATATATATATATATATATACACACACACACACACACACATATATATATATATATATATATACACACACACACACATATATATATATATATATGCACAGACACACACACACATATATATATATATATGCACAGACACACACACATATATATATATATATGCACAGACACACACACACATATATATATATATATATATATATATATATATATATATATATATATATATACACACACATTATGTATGTATATATATATATATATATATATATATGTGCACATACACACACACACATTATATATATGTGTGTGCACACACACACACATATATATATATATAATTAAAATATCATTCTTCCATATATCAGAACAATGCTAGGCAAAGTTGAAAAAATTCTGAAGATGTGGGAATGCTGATATTTTAAATTTGTTATTCATTTGCTTAATATTTTTGTGTTTGTCTTTGTGGTGTAATGGCTAGTGGCTCAGAATGAGAAATTGGCGAACCAAGTTCAAATTCCAGTTAAGTTCATTACATTCACTTGTGTGCAAATGTCCTTCTCTTCTTCTCTTTTTCCTAACTAAGAGTTAAATAGCAGAGCAGACTGGGTTTTTTAGCTGTGATTGGTCACCAGTCTAAGAGAGGGCAATTCTGAATTTAAAACTGTAATAATTGTCTATGATCCCCAATCCTCAGCAATGAGGTTTGAAGATGCAAATCAAATAAATATACATTAAATCATTTCACTCCAAGCAAGGCAATAAAGCCACTAAGATGCAAGGGTTTACTGAGTGTGAGAAAATATGAGAAAAAGAAAACATTATTAAGGAAAGAGAAAAATAAAAGAAAATATCATTTGAGTAAATGAAAGTTTTTTTTTTATATCTCTCTTGTAAAAACAAATAAGAATGACAGTTGTGCTATTATTCTCCTTTTGCATAGATACAAAATAATATATGCAAAAGAGTTTCACACTAGATGATATTCCAGTATGTTTATTCCTCTCAGATTGGGTTCTTAAATTATAAAAACATGAAAGGGTTCCTAGACACTTAATTAGGGTGGTGTGTGGTAAGTAAAATTACATTATTCATTCAAACATTTTGTTCATTAACTTGTTCTGTTAGGAGAACTCTAAAATGCATGACTTTTTTCCAGGTATAGTCTACTGATTTTAAATTCTTAAACTTGAAATTCTCCATTTTATCTCTGGTGTTTCTTTGCCTTTATCTTTCAAATCATACAGGTTCACTGCCATCTTGTTAAAAAAGTTTTACAGTTATAGTTTCTTTGTTTCCATGGCTCTTTATTAACATCAATGTAGAATATTTTGTGTTCACCTCTATGTTTACACACAATATAAAGAAACTGATGCTTACATCTAGCATGAAACAGACTGTCGCCTCTAAGTGTTGACGTCTATGTTCACTTATATATATATATATATATATATATAAAGAGAGGTGTATTTGGGTAGCAATTTTTCATTTATACAAGTTTGGTCAAATTCCAATGAAAGTTTTTTATTTTTTTTTTTTATTTTCCAAATTATTTTCTTTGTTTCAGGTTCATATTTGAAAATATATTTTCCTATGCCTGAGTACTTTCAATTATACTGAAAATGAAACTAACAATATAATAAGAAACAAAAGCCAAGTCTTTTATAATGACTAATGATAATCAAAAGTACTCAAACACCAGAACATATATACTCATATATGAATTTAAAATAAACAAAATAACCTGGAATATTGAAAAAATATATATAGAAAAATAATTGACAAAAACCATTTAATATTTAACCAGATATGCACATATATATCTCACACCTCTAGGGTGACTGAGTTTCGTGCATGAAACTCAGTTATGCTAGAGGTGTGAGGTAGTGTGTATATATATATATATATATGCACAAACACATTTGCTCTGTTTTGTTAAGAACTGCACTATATGTATAATATGTTGTAATTTTATTACCATATATATATATATATATAAAAAGAAAGAACAGTAAGATATATAATCCGGTGTTCTTATAGATATTTTTATTTTTACAAAATAGTGCTCAATGTAAATTTACAGAGTATTAATATTATAAATTAACTGATTTAAAATGTTTTTTTTTGCTACACAGTTCTATGTTTCTTTTAGCTTCCATTTTTGAAACATGGTTAGAACTGTGTAGTGAAAAAAAACATTTTAAATCAATTTATAATATATATATATATATATATATATATATATATATATATGCTGGGATGTTTGTATCCAAGTATGCTGTTCTATTAGTTGTTGGTTAGCTAATCCTTGTAAGATTTAAAAAAAAAAAAAAAAAAAAGAACTGAGAAAAATACTGCATTATTTCCTGGTCCTGAAGAGAAATTTAACAATGAATTTTCCAGATAGCTGTACTTACAGGTCGAGGTACAACTTCATCAGGAGAAGCACCTTTTTCAATGTAAATCCTTTTGTTTTCCTGCATATTGGCATTTTCTGGTTTAAAGAGAAGGTAGGATGCAACAGCCTTGATAGCACTGTCCAAGTTGTTCACTATGAATTGAACAGTAAAGAAAATAATGATAGACAATGGAATGGATGCATGTGTAAATTCAAAAACTGATTCAAAATTTAGAGAAAAGGAGAAAGCAATTACAAAGAAAGAAAAAAAAAACAAAATAAAAAGAATGGGTAAAAATAAAAACCTTCAAACACTTATGAAAATCTGTCAAAATGTCAAGCAAAATTTTTTGTAAAAACAAAAATATTAAAATAGTGTCAAGGGGAAAAAATAACAGTGTAGACAAGATATATACATTTAAAAAAAAAAAAAAAAGAGTTAAAGAAATTTCTTTGGAAAATTTTTTTTTTTTTTTATGATAACTGAAAAAAAACCTGATACGAAAAAAATATAGACAATGGAAAAAGAATTTGAAAAAAAATGAACAATTAAAAAAATGTAATGATAAAAAACAACCATGAAAAATTTTTTAAAATAATTGATGGGTGTGGGGATTTTCAAAAATAGAACAAAATGTCAAAAAATGATGCATTAAAAAAATATTTATCAGTCACACAAAAAGTGAAAAAAATTGTGATTGGATGAAAAATTTAAACAAATTGAAAATATAAAAGTAAATGTCTTTAAAAAAAAAAAAAAAAATCAACAAAAATTTGTTTGTGAAACTTATTTAAGAATAAATGGCCATAAAGGAGAAAAATGCAAAATGTATTGTTATTTTTGAGAGGGGGCCTCCAAAGAGGATTAAAAAAATGTGACCAAAGAAAGACAAAAAAAAAAAAGAAGCAGCAAAAAAGAAACAAAAAAATCCAATCAAAGTAAAAAACAAACAAACATAAAACAATTCAATTTTCTATCATCTCTTTCTATACTTGTGTCTTCTAATCCTGGAATGAAACATTGACATCAATATGATACAAAGGTATTTCAAGACTTTGCATGTAATCATCAGTTAACAAAGACTAAGCATATTTGTATACTTATGTGTATATTTCAGTACCTTTGAGATGAAGACAAGAGTTAGTGACAAAAGTCACTACTCCTCAGGGTGATCATCAAGAGTGAAGAAGCATTGGAATACAATTTCTTTTCCCAGGAGAAACATTTGAGCTCAACTTTGATGGATTAGGAATGCTGACAGAAATAAAATTCATTCAGTCCAAAAAGAAGATAAAAAAAAAAAAAAATTCACCAAAAACCCTTAATACCAATACTTCAGAGCTGTATAAAAATGTCAATGACTACACATTCTCTCAAAATGTCTCTTTCACTCAGGCAAGATTAAGTTAAAATCAAATATTCCAACACTGAATCAAGGCAGGTAATGCTTCCTTAACTTTAGCTGAATGACATTTTTTGATGAGCATGTATAAATTTTAAACTATTCAAACAAATATATTAATTATAATGAAATTATGAAAATTATTTAAATTAATAAAAAGCAATTTTTTTTTATTATATACTTAGAATACTCTTTATTTAATAATTTTTTGGTAAAATTGAAAATTAAAATAAAAAAAAATGGTCTTACATTGGTAGTAGGCAAACTGTAAGTAGTTATACATCTCTGGTAAAAATCCTTCCATTTTTTCTCCATGTAGATAACTAACTTTGTCTTCACATGCTGTTTGACATTTTAAAATGTTGACATAATGATCTGGAAAAAAAAGAAAAAAGAAAGAAAATGACAATACCAAATTAGATTTTTCATTAGTATATTATGCAACTTCTTAATCAGAAGTTATTTTCTTGAGTATAAACACTGAAATTAGAATTTTATTATACAAGATACATTCATTGTTATTTATTAAGTATAGTTTAGCTTTGGTTTGGTTTACAGCATATCAACCTCAACAGGTTATTTAATGCCAACAAGATTTTTATTGCCAGCAATATATTTTCAAAAATGTATTGCTGGTAATAATTTTTCAAAAAAACCTAATTTTTTTACTTTCATAAATTTTTGACCCCTTTTTATAACTATTTGCCCATAACTGGGACTCTAACAGGTGCTACTACTCTGGTTCAGAGTGAACCTGAGAACATCTGCAATTTTGAGATGGTTTCATGCTCCTCAAATCCTCCTGATCAAAGGCCCTGTTGTCGGATGTAGTTTATCATCTTATGGTTCAGCTTTGGCAAAAGGCCACAAGTATAGAGCTCTAAGTGAAGATCTATGGTGATTGTAGGAGTTTATCAGTTATGGAGGATATCTTATGACAATATCCATCACCACCATATAATTATTTTTGTGTAACAAAAGAAAATGTACAGAGTGTTGATAAATACAAAATAAATCTTTATACACACAACATAATAATACAGAAGGTTAAGATAAAGTTGAAGTTTCAAGAGTTCAAGTGTAAAAGTCCTAGCACATAAGAGAGAGAACAAGTCTGGGAGGAAGTATGTATATACAAGTGTAGTAGTCACCTGCTTAACAATGTGGGTGAAGGAAGGTATGTCTGTTTTCAACTGTATAAGTGGGCTGCTTAAAAGGTGGAGAAAAAAAAGAGTGTATGTTTTTAAATGTAGCAGAATGATTTAGCTCTCTCAGGCCACTGGCTGGTCGCATTTTAGCTCTAGTTATGTTATGATGACCACAGCATCAGAGAATGAACAAAATTCACTTACCAATTCTGGTTTTGGTTGATTTTCTATCTAGTTATATTCATCTAGAGATCTGCTTCAAAGTGTTGCTTTGATTCTAATTGGCTCACTACCTTATATCCTGGTTGTGAAAGCTTTCTGATTGATTGCTTAAAATATGGCTTTGTGGCTTGGTGATTGTGAATCTCCATCTATTTTTATAGATGGTGAATTTTTGGTTATATGTTATGTTATTATGTATTTATTTTTCTATTATTACAGATCAAATACTTTATAGTATTAATTGTTAACTAAACTAGTTTATTGACTATTACCCCACCTAAAAGTGCACAAAAAATACATTCATCTAACAGTAACTGGCTTTTTAGTTCATCTAGGGGAAAAAAAAAAGCACTGAATTAGGTAAGACAATCTGACAGATTTCTTAACTTATTCATTATTATAAATAATCATCATTTCTAATAGCTCAGTATTGCACACATCACTGATCATTTCACAAAATTTTCTTGTTTTGAATGTAATCACAAGAGGAAATATGAATATAACTTTGTTTTTATTGGTTTCCAAAGTTCAAAGATGAAACCATTTTTTTTTATTTATTTCAAATATTTTTTCTTAATCTTTGTTTTCAATAAGGCTTTCCTCCATCTATGGTTTGACTTTCTCGGAATAGTTCTTCTAGACTAGATAGTTCAGAGTACTCTGCTAATTAGCAAGAGATGGTGAGAGAAAAAATGGTTCCATGCATTTCCCAAGAGAATTAGTGTGAAGTTAGTGCAACAAAAGAGGCTGAAATTTGTTGTGGTAAACCCTCCTACAGTAGAATGAACTCTTCCTCCTCTCATAAATACTAACTGTGAGAGTCGGTTGAGGGAGAAGGTAGATGCAGTGGTAACCTGCCGTTCGGACATACACCGCTATCTACTTATTACTAACACTCTTGCTTTGTATATATCTTCAATATACTTATTCAACCTACCTTCGTCTTCTGTGTCTTTCTTTCTGGCCCCTAAACAGGCCACAACAACTTGGTGACAAGGATTCACACTTCATGAGGACTCAAAAAATTTGCCGTTGCCAGTGTCCACAACAACTTGGCGATGAGGATTTGCACTTCACGGGGACTCAAAAAAGAAATTTGCTGTTGCCAACGTCCACAACAACTTGACGACAAAGATTTATGAGAATTTTACATGGACCACCATGATTAAAAGGAACTCTTAAAACACGGAACATCAAGTTTTTCGTAAAAGACATGCTTATCATGGAGGATAACCATTAAAATGTTGGTAAACTTTCTTTTTTACAGGTACATGTGAAAAAAAAAAATTCTTCAGACTCCTGCAGAGTTAAGATTTTAGGAGGGGGGTGTTGTGGTAAACCCTCCTACAGCAGAATGAATTCTTCCTCCTCTCATAAATACTAACTGCGAGAATCGGTTGAGGGAGAATGTAGATGCAGTGCTAACCTGCTGTTCGAATGTACACTGCTATCTACTTATTACTAACACTCTTGCTTTATATATATATATATATATATATATATATATATATGTGTGTGTGTGTGTGTGTGTGTGTGTGTGTGTGTGTGCTTTCTGGCCCCTAAACAGGCCACAACAAAACTGAAGCCCAGTTTGTCAATAATATCTTTAGAAATTGTTTAGTACTTGTTATTCTTTTCTTGTTCATGTTTTCTTTCAGAATGTGATGTTAGCAGAATCACAGGACTGAAAGTTAAGGTCTGATGACTGTTAGATTATGATATTTCTGATTGAAGATATGAAACAGAAGACAAAATCAGGAGGAACTTCTCCCTTTTTTGTTAATAAAATGCCATATCCCGTCAGGATATAAGCAATCATGGTGCTCCACAGATCCCTTTCTTTATTATCAATGAATTGTCATGACTTAAGAATTAGTTTCCAATTGCCTTCTTCACAGTTTTGAAATTAGAATTGTCCTTCTCTTAGACTGGTTGCCATCCAAAGCTAGAGAGCTCAGACTACTCTGCTATTTAACCAATAGATAGAGATGAAGATAGAAGAAATGGGTTCATGCTTTTCCCAAGAGTATTAGTGTGAAGTGAGTGCAAAAAATGAGGATGGGACTTGAACTCAGTTTGTTAATAATTGTCATACTACTTACACAAAAAAAATAATAGATTGACTTATCAAAATATTTTGGCCAGAGATGGAGAAAATAGTCTGAAAAATTATATGGAATTGTGAAAATACCTGATAATTTTTGACAATACAATGAATATATCAAATGAAATGAAGCATTAAAAATAAAGATGAAAACAATAATATGAAAGATAAATAGAGTAGTTTCCTCTGTTGTCTCTTTCTAAGCCATGCAAAGGTAACTTTGGTTAATAGTTTCAAGTTTCTCCAACACAAGTTGGTCAAAAATGTGTAATACTTTAGTGTCATGTTGATTATATTACAATGATTTTCAATCTTGTCTTGGAAATCAATTCACCAATGTAACAGGTTCAATTCTTACTGGGTGCTCTCCACTACTATTCCAGACTAATACAAGCATTTTTTTTTTCATCATTTCACCCCAAGCAAGGCAAAAAATGTCACTAGGATGTAAGGGGATAATGAGTGTGAAAGAAAAGGTCTTGGTGATGAGAAATGAAGAAAATGAAGATAGTGAAGATAGTGAATGGCATTTTATTTAAGTTTTTAAAGATTGTAGGTGTCAGAAAAGCAAGAAAATTGGGAGTTTCACAGAAGTGGGACTATTAGTATAGAACATATGGTTGTATCTAGCTAGTTCAACAATATAATAGTGAGACCTAGTTGCCAATCTAGTAGCATTCTTAAATACATGTAGTTGAGGTACCAAGGAGGAAAGCTCATCAGGAAAATTGCTATGAAAATATTTGTAGGAAAGAACATCTACCATAGCATGATAGATAGTAAGCTTGTCTTTTATTCATTAGTATTGTAAGATTAATTTTTCATGTGAGAGAATAACAGTTGATTCTTTCTAGATGACATTGCTCGTTTCTTCCAATGAGTCATATTTTTTTTTTTATATTAAGGTTCGGTCAATACAAGTCTTAAGAGCCCTTAAGGTCGAGTGTTAGTGTTAAAATGGTTATGATAAATGAGATGTGTAATATGAATGAAAGAGGGTGTGGCAGAAAGCGAAGATTATGAGGATAAGAAGGATAGATAATGATTGACCCTTGAAGATGTTAAGATTATAGTTTTCAAGAAAGCATCCACACAGCAGTCTGTTCCATCAAGTAGCGGTTCTTGGGGGGTAAAAATCTGAGTATGATGGAAATGGGGGTGGGGTGATTCAACCTCGTGGAAGTAACATGGGGTGGCCTACATGTAAAGGTCTAAACGGATGACTTTTTGTACTACACAATCCAGGGATTGAATTTAAAACTTCCCCGTAAAACAATTTGCTTAACTAATGTTTTTAGAAATACAGCCATGTATCCCAGAAGGTTACCAACAAAGACAAACATCTGAAGAAGGCCAGAAAGTACAATAGAAACATTGTAACAATAACCATCAAAATGAGAACACTAGTTTGAGTAAATCAGAATATAATAATAACTCTTCATCTGAAAAATTCAGACAAATAATATGTATCTCTTGTAGAAGACTTCTCCTGGTGACTCTTCAATCAGAGACACCGAAGTACCACTAGATCTTTGATAAACCATCAATACAATACCAATATAGAATGCTACAATTGATTGTGAATACAAATGGGATTTTACAAAACAGAGGATGCAAAATCATTAATAATCATATATATAATAATTTCAATAGAGTTATCAAACATCTGGCCATGATGAGTGTTTCAATGTGAAACTCTTGAGTCAGTCAATCAGATAAGTTGATTGAACTTTTATCTATTTATTTACTAGCATGGATACCCAGTGTTGCTCGGAAGAACTCTGAAAAATAGTTTATTATTGAAAATTTATTGATATTTTTCAGCCATCTTATGAAAAATAATTTTTAATTCAATCTTTAAAAAATAAACTTCATTGTTTATTTTTGGGGTTTGATACAGA